GCTTTTCCACGATATATATATATATATATATATATATATATATATATATATATATATATATATATATATATATAATATATATATATGATTGTGTAGGCCTCCGTCGGTCAGGGTTGATTTATGGATATAAATATATGCAAATATATATATATAAAAATATGTGATAGGACCCAGTAGTAGGTCTCTGTCTCTGTCAGTTAGGGTTGACCATGGGTAGCATCCTAGTTGTTTGCTTGGCTGGAGCATCGATATCTGTGCTTGTAGAGGCCGATGCGGGAGTGACAATCTCTGTTGCAGAGGTGGCATGTGCATTCTGCCTCTGGTCTGTTGGAGGTGTCACTGCTTTCTACAGGCCCGCCTATCCGTGGCAACGTGATCAAAAATCTCCTCCCTTTTGAGGTGTTTTGTTTTTTAAATAGCCATTCGGATCGTATGGCTGCCAGGCTATTTCAGGACACTATGTTGATGTCCACAGCTTTCATATCGCGTCACACTACATCGCGATACTGCAGCTGTGGCCGCCCAGCAGGTATCCTTCCAGCGGCCAGCTCTCCATACAAGAGATCATTGGGGATGCGGCCGTCTGGCATGCGATGGACGTGGGCCAGTTAACGGAACCTACGCTTTATCTGAAATGTGTTGTGAGCATTTTTAAAACCTGCTCAAGACAGGACCTCAGTGTTAGGCACCTTATCTTGCCACGCTATACCCACGGTGCGGCGGTCAGTAACTTATCAATATGTAACAAGTTTCACCTGGGTGTGCCTATCAAAGCAAATTTGGCCACTTTACTGACATTTCATTACAAACACCCAAGTCGGGACATTTTTGCACAAACCAAATTCGGCAGATGTTTCGACCAACCATAAAAAAACTTTTGCCGATCCATTTCACTTTTAAAACATTATGATTTGTTTTTTTTTTTTTGTTTTTTTTTTTTCCATTTTGATCTGTACTGTTCTGTATTAAAAGGGCGCTGTTCGCATACAGGAAGTGAAATGGTATCGCCTAAATAATTAATCTATCAATTGTTCGTTATAGTTTGGGTGACCGGCACCACTGAGTAGGGAGCAATGTCCTCATCTATCTATCTATGTTCATATCTAAATCTGTTCATATCTAAATCTGTTCATATCTATCTATCTATCTATCTATCTATCTATCTATCTATCTATCTATCTATGTTCATATCTATCTATGTTCATATCTAAATCTGTTCATATCTATCTATCTATCTATCTATGTTCATATCTAAATCTGTTCATATCTATCTATCTATCTATCTATCTATCTATCTGTATTCATATCTATATATCTACATGTATTCATATCTATATATCTACATGTATTCAAATCTATCTATTTCAATGAATTGATAACTATCTATCTATCTATCTATCTATGTTCATATCTAAGTCTGTTTATATCTATCTATCTATCTATCTACCTGTATTCATATCTATATATCTACATGTATTCAAATCTATCTATTTATTTCAATGAATTGATATCTATCTATCTATCTATCTATCTATCTATCTATCTATCTATGTTCATATCTAAATCTGTTTATATCTATCTATCTATCTGTATTCTTATCTATATATCTACATGTATTCAAATCTATTTCAATGAATTGATAACTATCTATCTATTTATCTATCTATCTATCTATGTTCATATCTAAGTCTGTTTATATCTATTTATCTATCTTTCTATCTATGTTCATATCTAAGTCTGTTGATATCTATCTATCTCTTTTCATATCTATCGCTGTTCATATCTAAGTCATTTAATAGCCAGTTCATATCTATCTATCTATGTTAATCTCTCTCTTTCTCTCTCTCTCTTTATATATATTATATGTGTGTGTGTGTATTTATATCTATCTATCTATCTATCTATCTATCTATCTATCTATCTAAATACATTTATATATATCTCAATATCTACTTCAGTGTATTCAGTTCATATTCATATCGATCTCAGTGAATTCATTATCTATCTATCAATTAAGTAATATATATCTAAATATATTTATATCTATCTGTCTGTATGTATATCTATTTCCCTATCTATCTATCTATCTATCTATCTATCTATCTGTCTGTCTCAATGAATTCAAATCTGTCTCTCTTCCTTAATGTTTGCTTGATCATTACTATCGAGTATTGAGCTCAATCCACACTGTGTCATACAGAATCCAATATTAAATAGTTCAACAAATGTTAACATGCCTTAAACCCAACCAACCTAATGTAACTTCTGGTGACATATATGTCATTAATATTGCAACAAAGCCACTAAGACGCAAAGGGGTTACTGAGTGTTAGAAAATATGAGAAAAACTACTATTAAGGAGACAGAACAATAAAAGAACAAGAATTAAGAAGACAGAAGATAACCTTTGACATTGCGTTTACATTTTCTCCCAAGCAAGGCTTTAAAGCCACTAAGATGCAGAGATGTAACTGATTGTTAGTGAATATGAGAATAACTACTATTAAGGAGAGAGAAAAATAAAAAGAACAAAATTAAGAAGACAGAAGATAATATTGACATTGCATTTAAATTTCCTCCCAATCAAAGGCATTAAAGCCACTAAAACAAAACAGGTTACTGAGTGTTAAAATATGAACAAAATACTATTAAGTAGAAAAAAGAACAAGAATTAAGAATTCAGGAGAAAAATAAACACTATTAACGAAAGAAAGGGCGATAAAAGAAGGGGAAATAAGAAAACTGACGATAAAGATTGACATTGCATTTAAATTTTCGTAGATCAAACTTGACTGAGAAGCAAGAAACCAGAATAGAGTTCCACAAGCGAGAAGTGCGAGAGAAGAAGCTGTTAGCATAGAACTTACATTGAACCATTTCAAATGTAAAATAATGAGAATTTGCTGTCAATCTATTGCGTTTGCATTTATCATCTATGGTACCTTGCATCTAGGTACCATAGATGAAAGTTCATCAGAGCATTTACCATGAAACCATTTATAGAAAAAGGCACAGAGCGGCTACATTACGGCGGTTTGAAAGTGATTGAAAGCAAAATGCCACGGCAGGGCTAATAACATTGCTGATTCTTCTTTAGATTTTCTCCAGAATCTCGAAATATATAGCAGGAACACTAGAATATATACAGCGGCAGTATTAAATGTATGCACGAATGGTAGATTTTTTAATACGTACACTAGATTATGGCATGAAAAATTGTCTAACACGACAGTGAACCAACTTTCCTAGCTGCACATTGATTCAATATACCCTTTTCAGTTCATGGAAGCGAAAATGTTATTCCGAGAAGACGAAATGGATCCCTCTGCTGGAGGTTAGCATCAGCCACGCTGATGGATGGTGAAAAGGCTTCTCTCAGACGATTAAAAGTGGGCTGTTTCGTTTTGGAGGCGTTAAAAGTAAAAAGCCATTCCTTGCTCCAGTTAACAATAGATTGTATGTTAGTTTTTTAGATCAGCTGTAAATTTGACCTTATTGAACCGAGGCGTAAACTGTTGTATCATCAGAAGAGATAAACATATATATATATGTATGTATGTATATGTGTATATAAATAAAAAGAAAGAACAGTAAGATTTATAATCCGGTGTTCTTATAGATGTTTTTATTTTTACAAAATAGTGCTCAATGTAAATATACAGAGCATTAATATTATAAATTAATTCATTTAAAATATGTTTTTTCGCTACATTTTTCTAACCATGTTTCAAAAATGCAAACTAAAAGTCGAATTTAATTTTGTAATTTAATTACAAAATTAAATTCGGAGCTTCTTCAATGTCTGAAACATGGTTAGAACTTGTAGCAAAAAAAAAACATATTCTAAATCAATTAATTTATAATATATATATATATATACATACATACATATATATATATATATATATATATATATATATATATATATATATATATATATATATATATGTTAAGACATGTCATTAAAAGTTTTGTCTCCTTATTTTTATTTTCACACATACACATCTATATATATATATTGCTTATATTTTGACATTTTTTTTTATTAAGGCATGTTTCATTAAACAATATAAACAGGTTTTGTCTACTTATTTTTAATAGGATCCTCTCAAAATTACTGACACATTTCTTAGTATCTTTATTAATAACCATGTTGATGAATATTAATTTTATTCCGAGTATTTATCAAAATGTCGTCATCATAATCCAGTTTTTTGTTGCGTTCATCATTTTTCTAAAACAAAGTTGTTGTGTCCATCCGGATATTATTTTTTTTACGCGTTAAGTGAAAAGCACTAAGGTTATGTAATGTACAATTTTAAATTTTATTATGTAGGCTCGCGTGCAAACGTCAAGGGAGGTAACTAAGTTGTTTTAATATCTAAAGCGTAATGTTTAAAATATAATGTCTGAAATATAATGTTAAAAATGTCCAGAAAAGTTATGAACACAGCAATTTTTTGTCTTAGAAAGAACAAGGCCTTAATGACGAAATTGTGCTAATGTCGAAAGTACTCGGAACAAAATGTTTATGGATCAATATGGTATTTTTTTCTTCCTTTAATAAGGATACTAAGATGCATGTCCGTAATTACGAGAGGAAGCTATTAAAAATAAGTAGACAAAACCTCTCTAAATTATTTAATGAGACATGTCTTAATGAAAACATGCTTCCAAAATATAAACAATATGTGTGTGTTTGTGTGTGTGTGTGAATATAAAAAAATCATTGACATTCTTGGCCCCCCACGATATGTAATCAATTCCCTCATCAAAATATGCTTACGCATATCTCCGCATGGATACCATATGCACCCATACAGTTACAGGAATATAAATATACAGAGAAAGAATCGTATATAAATTGCAACGCAAATCCATCGAGCCGTCAAGGGTATAAGAAACACATTACAATGCAGTAACCCGAAACACATAATTACAGAAAACTTAGGACCCCGAATTGCCAAAGTTGTATGCTGACGTTGTTTGTTTATGTGTCCCTAAAGAAAACAATGAACATTAATCAAAAAAAGAGACGGGCTCAGATAACAAGGTGAAGAAGAAGAAGAAAAAGATGAAGAAGAAGAAGAAGAAGATGAAGAAGAAGAAGGAGAAGAAAGAAAAGAAGAAGAAGAAGAAGAAAATATGAAGAAAAGAAAAAGAAGAAGAAGAAAAGATGATGAAAAATTACGTATTCTTGGAAAATGATAGGAAAGCTTAAAAACTGTAAAAAAAAAGACGAAAGACAGAATAAAAAGGGTTATAATAAGAAGGGAAAAGAAGAGAAAAGAAGCAAAAGAAGAAGACGATTTCAATGAAGATGAAGAAGAAGAAGAGAACGAAGAAGAAGATAATGAAAATAAAAAAGAAAGAGAAAATAGGAAGTAATCATGAGCGCAAGAAAAAGGAGACGAAGAAATCTATATGTGGAAATGTGTATTAATGAAGAAAAAAAGAAATCGAAAGAAAAAAAAAATAAGGGAAAAAAAAAGAAAATTATGAAAGGAAAGAAGAAAATCTCAGCAACTACGAAGAAGAAGAAAAGAAGAAGAAGAAGAAAGAAAGAAGAAGAAGAAATTAAAGGATTGTTGAAAAAACATGGAAAACAAGAACAAAGAACAGAAATAAATAAAAAAAATGGATATATACAAAAGGAATAAAAATTGTTTCGTTTAAGTCGACGCGAATCAAAAATTTTTTCTGTCGCGTAAACTTGCTTTCAAGTAATAAACTAAATTCCCTTGATGTACAGAGGTAAACATTTCAACAAAAAGTATCAAAACTTCCATCATCTTTGTTCTGAAAAACACACACATAAATATATATATTTATATATATATATACTATATATATATATATATATATATATATATATATATATATATATATATATATATCATAAAATATATATATAATATATATATAAAAACGCCCAATATATATATATATATTGCAGTATATATATATATATATGAATATAAATATATATATATATATATATATATATGTAAATATATATATAAATATATATATATATACATATCATTTGTTATGATATATATAAGAATATATATATTTGAATATATATATATAATAAAATTTTATAATATATATATGCGTATTTATTTGTCGTGTAAAAAAGAAAAAAAAAAAAAATATACAATTATTTAAATGAATTCATTTTAAATGAATCCTATAATTATTATTATAATATATAATATACACAAATATTTATATATATATCATAATATTATTTAATGATTAAAGAATAATTTTTATATAATTTTATATAAAGTTTTGGTAAAAAAAATAAAATTTGATATAATATTTTTTTTCAAAAAAATATATAATTTATTAATAATGTAGTACTGGTAATAATTATTTGCAGAAATGCATTGGTGGTAATAGTTTTACCTTCAAAAACGTACTGCTGGTAATAATTTTTTCCTCAAAAAATTTGCTGCTGGTATTTAAAACCTATTTTTACATTTTCAAAGTGTTTTGACTCCAGTTTTTTGTTTTTCTATATGCCCAACAGTTGGGATCCTCAAGGTTTTTTTTTATATAAATAACATAGTGGACATTCTAAACACCAAGATTAAAATAATTTATTTCCACACTCCTTCTAATCCTCCTGATCTGAGACCTTGCTGTTGGATGCATTTTCTTGTCATACCCATGACGTTCATGTGATGGAAAATAACTGGTGATTAAATAATTTTTAACAAAATTTAAAATCAAAAATGAAAAAGATTTAGAAGTTTTCAATTGGCAAAAAAAAGGCTCTATGGCCAAAAATATTCTAAATTGACTTACTAAAAATATTAAAACTCATGCCATTGAAAATTCGTTTCTATTATAAATGATAATGAAAAAAAAACAAAAAAGTGTATATTGAGATCATAATACATATATATATATATATATATATATATATATATATATATATATATTGTCCATTACAACCAGCAATTTTTTTTGATGCATGTTTATTAAATTTAATATTTTCAAGTTTTTGAGAAAATTTATTTATTTTAATTCCATTATCGTTTTTACATAATTGCACTAAAAGTTTGAATATTGAAATATATAAAATCATAATATTGATTTTATGTTTTTTTAATCATATCTAAATTTTCAAAAATTACATTCATTATCAAACATAACAAAATCTACAAATTTCAATATATCCCAAACAATATATCACTAAACAATAATGATAGTCACAATATCAAATGAAAATTTCGGTCAACAAACTCTGTTTTAGATTTGTTCGAATGAAAGCTCAGATATGATGTTTATTCGAGAATATACATAAAATACATAAATTCTTTATATATATATAAACTCCATGTTTCCAATATATATGTATGAACATTATATAAAATATTATATTTTTCATGGTTTGCATTTATTACATTGAATCGAATCAAGATCATCATCATACGTTCAAATTCAAAAATTCCGTCCATTCATAGCTAAAATCCAGTATATTAATAAAAAAAATTATTATAAATGTCGATCCATATTCGATGTTCATTATTGAAATTTGTGAGGAAGACAGATTGCTTAAGAAAAAATTAGAAGAATAAGAACAAAAGCATGATTGGATATTTATTTTTTTTTCAAATTTAAATAATTTTCAAAAATTAAATATAATATATTTAATTTTATTTTCAGACAACCGTCCTCATCGATTTTTTTCATAAAACGCAAATTTTCAGGTGGTTTAAAATGTCAAATGAAAATTTATTTCTTTAATTAACATGTTCTAAATTCCACCTGAAGGAAATCAAATGGTTAAAGTTGGAATTTCCTGTAAAAGATTTGTTCTGTTGCTTTTTACCGGGTCAAACTTTTTAAGAAATAATGATTCTGATGTTATCCAAATGCCATTTCTTTGTTACATCTGGGCTGATGCAGTATTGTTTGCATAAATTGTTCATTGTCTTTAAGAGAAGAAAATTTTAACTACGGTTTTTACATATTTTCATGTGTCTACTTGTTTTTTCTTTATAAAATATTGAAAAATGTTTTTCATTGATTAATTTTCATTTTATTATTTCTTTATTAGTGGAAAAAAAGAATAAAGAAAACGTAATAAAATTTTTAATTTTATATTATGCCATTTATAAATAATTTTCAAAAATAGACAACTTACTGCATCCCAATAGTAAATATAAATGTGTGTGTGTGTGATGTTCAATGTGTGTGTAATGGACATTATCCAAAAATGGATGAGGAAATCTAATGATGTTCGAAATTCAGTCAATTAATTATATTCATATGCGAAAATACAAACCCCAAAGAACTGAATTCGTAAAAAAATTTAAAATTTAAATATTTGGTCAGAAATTCAAAAATCCTTTATAAAAAATATTTTTTTAAAAAATAAATTATGTTTTTAGAAATTTCTTTTGTTAAAAATGTTTCAACATTAAATAAACCAATTTAAAAATATTGATAAGCCGTAAAAAAAAAAAAAATTTTAGAAAAGGTTGTTATACAATACGAATTGTTAAAGATAACTGATAATGGCATCAATCCCATTCATCTATTCTTCCTGATGATGTTTAACTTATTAAATCTAGACTTACAAAGCAATCAATGCCACTAAAATTCATTCAATTTGCTCTGCAATCTTGAATAAATGAGAACACCCTGATGTTTTTAAACTGAAAAGTCCTGCAAATTAAATTGTATTTTTTTTTTTTAAAAGTTTGTTATATGTGTCAAAAGGATAATGGATGACAACCTAAACAGACCAAATTTGACCCAAAGAGACAGACTAAGTCAAAACGATTAACAATTTTAAACAGCGTTTCTGAAATAAACCACTAAATCCACCTATCGCAAATGACCTATGAAAGATTTATATCAAAATGGTGATTTTCTATATATGAAGAGAATGATGATTTCAAGTATTATATACCTATTTACATTATTTTGAATATTGGAATTATCTTTATTTTTTTAAACTGGAATTCATTACGTTTCGAAAAAAGAATTTTGAGACCTTCTTATTCACATATAGAATGGATAAAGGCGTTGTAGAATTTCCAAATGACAGGATGAGCAAAGGGATGATCAATCCTATTAAAGCGGTGGATTCATTTTTTTCATTTTCATAACAGGAATGCAGCTCCTATCCATTAGACATGAAACAATTCTAAAAAGAGAACAAAACCGACGACTGCGCGTAATAAACGGTTATATTTTGACATACCAATCTACTAAGATGGTTGATTCACTGTATTGTCAAATCTATTTTCATTTAATAAATTATAAATATAAAGGATGTTCCAATAACTTGGACCGATTTTAAATGTGAAAAGTTTAAGCGTCTAATGATTTTTTTTTTTTTTCTTTCAGATTTAACAACTTAAGTCTTTGGCAATTTCAACCATGGAAAGATTAATAATCAAACAACGTGTTAAACTTATCGAAGCCTATTACGAAAATGGACGTTCAAACAGAAATACAATAAGAAGTTCCCAGGTCGCATTATCTCTCGAAACAGCGAAGTTAATTGGTCACCACGATCGTGTGACTTGACGCCTTTAGATTTGGTGTCATCTCAAAAGTAAGGTGTACGTCAACAAGCCAACGACAATTCAACAGCTGAAGGAGGAGATAATAAGGCATATTGGTGAGATCAAGGAGCAACTATGCAGAGACCCTATCAAAAAATTTGACTATCGAGTGGAGATCTGCTGCTGAAGTCTTGACGGATATTTGAGCGATATTATTTTTCACGCATCATTGATATGACTTAAATAACATGATCCAATAGAGAAATAAATAGTTTTTCAACCAATAACATTGATTTATTTCCTGCTGACTTTGATCCGTCTTAATGAAACACCCTTTATAAATCTATCATTAGTCTGTAAACTTAATATTGCTGCCATATCTGGTCTGGTGCCCCGGCTATAAATCTAGAGATTCTCGACAAATTCAAGGAAGAATCTGTGATTTTACTGGTCCTGACATGGCATCCCGACAGCAGTCGATTTCCTACCGCCGTGATGTTGTATCCCTTAGTCTTTTCTATAAAGGTTTTCATGGAAATTGTTCCAATGGGCCCTCCACGTTGGCATATTGTGTGAATTTAAACGTGCTGCGAAATTGGTTACGAGATTCGATAGTGTTAAAATAGCGCGATTTAACCGTAAGTATATTTCTAATAGTTTCATTTCTCGCAATTCTCACCTGAGGTTTTTCCAATATTTTCCCTGCCATCTCCGTTCTTCAAAACTTTAAATTAAACGTCAAAGGTGATCATATATCACCCAGATCCTGTTCTTTTATTGTCCTTTTTCCACGGAGGAGAACCTAACGCTTTAAATAAGATAAATTTTCCTTTTGTATTTATTCATATTTCCTTTTACAGATGTTATACTGAAATTTTTACCCATTTATTCTAAAAAAACACAAAACACACACAATACACACACACACAAATATAAATATATATATTTTTTTTTTTTCATTTCTTTTTTTTTTTTTTATCTTTTAGAAAATTCTGATGATCAGTTTTCTCCTTTATTTAAACTCTGGTGAAATTAATTTATAATGGAACCTTAAAGTAATCTGAACCTTTCGTTAAACCATTTAATATATATATATATATATATATTATTAATATAATTTTCATTATTTATATAGACACAGATATTTCCCTGTAAAA